CACCGCTTTCTAGTCGCTCGGCACTTTAAATGCAAATTTACATTGAAAGTGCCGAGCGATTGAAAAGCGGTGAGCGTTTTCGAGAACGAGAATACCGGCCCAGCTGCCGACTCGAGAACTGGCGAACGTACACCCTTAATTAGTTATGCAATCCCGTTTGGTGGTGTGTGCTTGGAGCAATCCTATTTGGTGGAGTGTTCTTGTAGTAATCCTATTTAGTGGACTGTTCTTGAAGCAATCCTTTTCGGCGGCGGGTTCTTGGTATTGCATATCAATTGCAAATTAAATAACCCTTTTCACGTGGCTCCGGTTTAACAAACCGCCACATACCGCTCAAATTCGAGTGGTAGGTATCCATCACGTTACTTCGTAACCGGGTTAGAAAACGGTATGTCATTTCTCTAACCGTTTTGTAACCCGGTTAGTTGAACCGGAGCCACGTGAAAAGAACTAATGAATCTTATCTATCACAGAACAATCTTATCCTTAGAGCAGGTAAAGGTGAGAAGGAGTAACCTGGATTTGGAAAATGAAGCCGTTTTTTTCCAGGTATTTTGACACCAAAAAAATGGCGGTATAGGCAATTCAATGCTTTACCTGTATTTTGGTGCCAAACATTTGCCAAAAACTTGGCTTCACTTTAGTTTCATAAGCAGAATGGCGGGTTCCTACTCCATATGTCCGTAGGACAGCGCTTTACCTGCTCTAAGATCTTATCTGTCATGATATCTGTCAATGTCAATATTTTTGGTTGCTCCATGTCAAGGATAGTACACACTTCTACTACTGGATAGCTTATCCTCATAGGGCTTGTGTAGATCAAATCTCATGCCCACAGGGCCCACCACGCCAAAGAACCAGTGATGATGTAGAGAGCGTGTCGTTTCTCGCCCTGACGTAGGGTGTTTGCCCCACAGGTTATGATTCCGCGAGCTTTTGCTTTATGCATACTGGGTTTTAGTTCATTGATTAACATTCCAAAACTACGCTTTACGCTTATTTAGATCTCGTTTACATCTTCCTCTGCCTATTATGTTAATAGAGAGTTATTGGAACTACTAAATACTGCCTCGCAGTATTAAGGATCTACGTTATTTTATTAGTGCATCAGTACTATTTTTCCAGGAAAAAAACAGTTATTGGAAGACTGTAGTAGGTGCTAGTATTACCCGTGGTATTACCTTATTTTGTATTCATAATTTTGACAGCTGAGCTATGTTTATAAATTCCAGCTTCAAAAAGTGTTTATTTTTGTTTGTGATTTTCTGCTGATACCCATTTTTTGATGTTACTCACAGTAAAATGGAGAACTATTGTAAAAAATGAAATTTTCAAGTAAAATTACGTCACCGTCGAAAAGCGAAACATCAAAGTCGTTCAAAATGTCAGAAATTTGAAATAAGGGAAGTTTACTGCCTCGCACTAACCATACACAAATAAAGACAAGAACTTTTTTCACGTGGCTCCGTTTTAACAAACCGCAACATACCGCTCAAATTCGAGTGATAGGTATCCATCACGTTACTTTGTAACCGGGTTAGAAAACGGTATGTCATTTCTCTAACCGTTTTGTAACCCGGTTAGTTAAACCGGAGCCACGTGAAAAGAACTAAGCAGTAACGGGCGCCGCAGGATTAGTTTCAGGGAGGTGCATACGGGCAGTGGCGGCGCGTGGATTGTTATATTGGTTCAAATTACTAATTTAAGAAGGTGAATGCCCGACGCAGGAGCTGGCGGAAGCGCAAAATTTTTTCCGGTTGCCTCGCCCAAAAACGGTTATTTTGAGCTTTCAAAAAAATAATTTTTCTAGGTGAAGTAAGTTATATGATGTTCTCACCTCGGTGGAAAGTGGCACAGGCAGTGGCGGATCTAGGGACGAGTGGCCCTCAGGGCAAAATATATTTGGGGGCCCCTAGGCCTAACCTATCCCTTGAGCAGTGGCGCACCTAGAAAATATGTTTGGGGAATGGGGGGACCCTACAAAGGTTGTGGCTTGTGTCTAGAAATCTGAATAAAAAATTGACGTGTCAGGGTGCCACGCCATGATGTCAAATTTTTTTGTACGTAAAAATACAGTTTTGGACGGGCGGCCTAGGGGGGGGGGCTGGACCGATGCCTTCCCATGGGTGCGCCACTGCCCTTGAGCGTCACGTGAAAAGTAGGAAAATCAAAAATGCGACCTAGAAATAGTGGTAATCAAATCACAATATATGGACGGTTGGGTCGGTCTGTGTTTCTCGGAATTCTGATCGGATATATTCGGAATACTTCGGAAGCACGCTCAGCGTTTCCAGATGCTCTCAACCACAGAAACGAATATTATTAGGCATGGGCGGTATGGTCGATGATATTTTAGAAGATAGGAATTGAGTCCTTATTGAATGTAGCTTCATTAAAATGTTATTATATTTATTTACGACTAATGTATAATGTGCGTATTATATTTGTGATTTTGGCAGTATAATGACATATGTTATTCCTCCAGGGATTAATGACGAGTAGCGGGATTAATGGTCATTATTCCACAAAAGTGTCAGTGTCAAACGTGTAGTACTTGTGGATTTGTATTGAAAATTATGAGACGGATGAACTTTGTTTATTGAAAATCTCAAATAAATTAATTTGTCGTAAATAAAGTAGAGTATACTACTCGCAATAATGGCTATTATTCCCTCGGAATGTTACTCCCTCGCCGCTAACGCGGCTCAGTTCGTAATAATCCTCGGGCATAATAGCTATCATTATTGACTCGTGGTATAATCTACTATTGATTTGCATGTATGACATTTTTTCTACAAATTCGAAATTTTCCGCAGCATCGTGGGGCCCTTTCGGCACAGTTCATACCGTACCGTTACAGTTGTACAACTCTCCATATTTTTTGAGGCCAAATTCTCTAACCAATAGGAGCATTTTGTCCCATATCTTGCGCATGCGCTCAATGAGTGAACAAATCTCTCAAATTGAAAAAGCAGTTCGGCATATACATGTCTCTTTCCAATCCTGCACGCAAAAAAGAGATAGAGATAGCTTGGGTGAGAACCTGCGAGAAATAACTGTCAAACGAGACATGCAACAGGATTGTATTACAAAAAAAGGAGAGAAGTTTTTTGACTGAAATTATTCAGTAAATTGAAAAGTAACCGGAAAATTCATCAATTTGAAATTCGGCTTAAGAGTGTCTTGCTTTCCGTGTTATTCGCGATTTTTGTGTACTTGACTGTTTTATCGTTTATACCGGGTGCCCACGCAGTGGCGTAGCCAGGATTTTGTCTTGGGGGGGGCAAATTTGCAGGAAGCGTCTTTTGCGGCCCTACCGCGACCGCTGCCGGAGGCAAAGCGCCGCAGGCGCGAAATTTTTGGGTGCCACGCCCCTTTTTCAGGTTTCTTTACGCTATTTTTGGGACTGTTTATCTTAATTTTGAAGAAATATTCATAAAATTTAAGGGTCTTGGGGGGGGCAAATGCCCCCATGCCCCCCCCCCCCCTGGCTACGCCAGTGTGCCCACGAGATTACTTTCCGGCTGCCATTTTTTTATTTGTTCATCGATATCAACGAAATTTGGTAGGGTTGATATTCTAACCAAACGCCATTTTTATGCATTTATGACAACTTTTGCTGACTTCCGGTTTCAACTGTATCGGTACGCTTTCGGACCGTGGGGCCCGGCGGCGCACCGAACTGCCCGATGATATGTTATGTCCGCTCCTGGGGCACGGGCTTCTCGCAATTTATTACTTTTTTCGAGCTATTAAATCGTAGAAGTTAATATCAATATCAATTTATATCAATAAAATAGAATTTAAGTTAATTCGAAATTCTCGCCATTCTACAGGTTGATGGCGTGCGAAATAAAAATAAAAAAACCCGATCCGAGCCGGAAGTGACCCCGAGGAATGTCGCGGGGATCAAAGAATGCGAAGGGGACATCGTTTCACGTTTCGCCAATTTTTTCAAACAGTAACTATTAAAAAAATATATTAATAAAATAAAAATAATTTTTTCAATGTATATCTGACAGGGGGGTGCAAGTGCACCCTGCTGCCGGCGCCTATGAGCAGTAACCTTATTGAGGGAATCCTTAAGCCTAGTACTCATAACTGCGAAATTCGCATTTGTTTGACAAGCTTCGACAATTTGACGTTTGTTACACGCATAAAACGTCAAATTGTCAACGCAATGTCAAAAAAATGCGAATTTCGCAGTTATGAGTACTAGGCTTTAAGTCTAGTCTCCATAGACGCGAAATCGCGGAAAGCGAATTTTTTAAGTGTCATTTTTTGGTGGCTATTTCCGAGCAAATTATTCCCATGTCTCCATAAGCGCGAAATTCGCGTTTTATTTAACAGGTTAAGGTTACCTATGTGTTGTTGTTCGTAATCAATTTCAATTTGAATTCGATTTAAATGCTTTGAATTTCAAACACTAATCTTTGAAAACCATGAAAGTGATTACTAAAAAACAAAAAAAGATATCGAGGGCTGAAACGCAGGACCTCGTATCTCACAAATCATAAAATGTGCAGGAGCACCAAAAAACTGTTTAAAATATAAATGGGAATTAATTATCGAAGTTGGGATATTTTTTTATTCGAAAAAACTTCGAATAAATAAATGCAGTGAGAAAAAAAAAACTTCAGTAGGGATTTTCAGAAATAACCGTCACTTACGAGTTAATGTTGTAAAAAGTATGTCAGTTACGTGGTTATGCAATAATATTGAGGAAATAAGGAATTTGAAATAGGAATAAAAATAATTATTTTTATTAACTACCAGTTCAACAAAATGGCAAAACAAATTGAATAAACTTAAAGATTCTTCAAAAAATTTAATCCTAGCTATTACAAAATATTTGGTTTTTCTGCACAAATAAAAGAAAATCCATTATAGCTGAATAAAATGCTAAAATAAATAAACAAACTTAAAAATTCATTCAAAAACTTTTAGGATATTATAAATAAGTATTTGTTTTTTCAACAAATGAAAGAAAATCCATTATTCTATTTGTGAGGAAGGGAGTCATAAAACCCCCAGCAGTCTTTTGGTATCACTTGCTTAATCGCTTGCAGGTGCGAGTATTTGATGCTTGAAATAGGTAGCCTTTGCCTGAAAAGTTGGGGAAATATGACGTTGCCTAACTGTATGATCTTTGGTCTGATTGGTAAATCTTTAAATTCAGATTCAAAGTTCAGCTTGAATCTAATTTTATCTTCGTAATACTGAAGTACACGTATATCAACAACATTGCTGTCTCCACCCGTTCTGCTAGGCCGAATTGAACTATACTTCAAGTAATCCTTATGAGCGTAATTTTTGAAAAACGAATAGTCCATGCTTTTGGCTATGTAAGGATTCTTCTGACGAGATTCTTTAGTAACCCGTAGGTAATCACAGGGCAAGTAAATCTCTTTATTTTTGAGTGAGGTCTCTATAGCACTGTGAACAGAGTCAACCTCCATTTGAGTGTGACCCTTTTCTAGATACTTTTGGGTTATACACACTTTGTATTTTTCTGACACGTGAAGTAGAGCGTTAGATATTACACAATTGCGATTCTGAGCAGTACACCCATCGGAGTAAATGACGATAGGAATCATTGGATTACTTGGGTTCAGAAAATTCTCTTCCAGGTAGTCTACAAGAAATGATGCGTAGGTAGATGCTTGACCGTCCGCGTTAGTCTCGTCGTACCAGTAACAAGTAGCTCGTCTATCTTTAAGGTTATAGATTGTGTAATTATGGCAGCACAATTTTGTTCTGTAATAAAGAGCGCTAGCTTTTAGCTGTGGTGCTAACTTGACAGACTGAACATCCATTACAATAACATTGCACTGTCCTTCTAAGGCCTTTTTTTTTATCTTCTTCTTTCTCCTTTCGGGCGCTATTTTTCATGTTAATATGTTCACTGTAGTCCATTTCAGATAAATTGCCATTTTTGTATTTGAAACAGATATCGCATTGGTCTTGCCTTGGACGAAATAGCGCTAGATTCATTTCTTCAGCCATTTTTGTTAATGTCTTAGTAGATAAAGGTTTTTTTTCATTCTCCTGGCACTTAATTTCGTAGACCCTGTGAAGTTGAGCAAAAGATTGAAAATTTTGTTCTAAATAAAGCTTATCAGTATCCTTCCTGCAATAATGCGAGGGAAGTTTGTTTAAACTAGTGAGAAATTCTATGAGGAAATCTCGATCTTCTTTAAACAAATAATTTCTTGGATTATGTTGACTTAATTCTATCTGAGTACTCTTATTCATCCTATTATTGCTTTGGGTTGTCCATGATCTGATAGTCCATTCTCCCAAAGAAAGAGTGTGTGAGTACATGATTTTACACACGGGTACTTCTTCATTTCCACAAATCAAAAAATATTTGATGGTTATATTTCGTCGAGAGCTTTCTGCTTCTTTTGGTCTAGCCTTTTCAGTCACTTTAGCAGTATTACTGACGTTCACTTTTCGTTGATCCCACGTCACGTTAGACCAAAAGTTTTGAAAAATAGCTTGGCGCATTCCTTCCGTCACCTTGAAACATTTTCTTGTCGGATCTTTGGCTTTTTGTTTACAGCTGCACCTGGCACCTAATTTTCTCTCTGTTCTTGTTGTATCATGAAACGTATTGCTTTGATTCCGTGGCTTTCTAAACCCTAAATACCGCTTTCCCGCCATTCTTAATTGCTTATTGATATACCTCTTATTTGTTCTTTTTTCATTTCTCTTCACTGTTCCATTTTCATTCTCAGTTTCATCTTCAATAACATTGACCTGTAGCTGTATTTCATCTTCATCGATTTCCATACTTTCTTCGCTGTCTGTTTCACTTTCTGGGCTGTAGTCATCATTGTCATAAACGTCAGTTTGTTCTGGTCTATGAGCTTTGCATGCTAAATCTAGAACAACGGGTTCTTCTATATTTTCTTCTCCAGATTTTGTGATAATATTCGCAATATTAATGTCATCCCCATGTATCGTGTCTCAATTTCATTTACCTTTTGTTTGATATCATTACTTACGAGATGAGATTGTTTATCGTGAGTTTGATTTTCTTTTTGCCAACTAACCACGTTTGTTATGTCTGACAAAACAGCACTGTTATTATGACAATCGCTTGGATTTTCGTTAATATCAAAGACAATCTCGGCTTCATTGATAATAGTAATTATATCTTCTGAACTTAAGGCTTCATCTAGTTGTCGTGTTCCAATTTCGTTAACCTCGTGTATGGTTTCATTATTTCCGATTCCGGGATGGTATTGTTCATTGTGATTGTGATTTTCAGCACTATTAATACTATTATCAGGATTATCGCTGGCATTATCGTTATCAAAGACATTCTCGACTTCTCTGATGATATTAGAAATATCTTCTGGAGATAAGGCTTTCTTTAAAAGAATATTTCCTGATAGTTCAATTTCACTGATTTCTTGAAGAGAATAATCATTTTCTTCAGTATTATTTTCGCTAGAATGAGCTAGTTTGGCCAATTCCAAAATTTTTTTCGTGCGACTAGACATTTTTAGGCAGCAGTACCTCGTATCTTCTCTAGAGCAATGTGGAACATGACCTCGTAACTAACATCTGCAATTAGAAATGGAAAATTTCACGTAAAATCATCAACAATCCAGGAAATTCACTATGGGACTATTAAGATTATTGTTTACCTTGATAATTATCAGCAAAATTTAACCCTACACATTAGTTATTTCACATTATTCACATACTATTCACAAAACCACTCACCTTGACTAGTCTTAAATGGCCCAAACTTAACATTGTTGTAGTTACGAGGTCTTCCTTGACGAAAATATTATGGAGTAGGACCTCGTATCTAACACCTGTAATTAAATGTGAAATTTCACCTAAAATGATTTCCATATCCGGAAAATTATTATGCCAGAATAAAGATTATTGTCTAATTAAACAATTAATAGCAAAATTCAACCCTACACATTAGTTTTCATAATATTTTGATACTAAGAATTCTCAAAAGCACTTACCTTGACAATACCTAAATGGCGCCAACCTGAACAGTGTTGTATTTACGAGGTTATGCTTCGGGAAACCCAGCGCAATAAGTTACGAGTTACTGTTTTCATTTATTTTCACAAATAAATAATTTTTGTAGAATTTTGTCCTTTCGAAAATAGATGGCGCTCACATAAAAGAAGACAACTACATCAAAAACCCGATTTCGTCGAAAATGTTAGTTACGAGGTCCTGCGTTCCAGCCCTCGATATGTGTCTTGGTGTTGTCTTAATTACATTTAAGGCCCTATTATAATCTTCCTCATCAACCAGCAAGCTGTAATTTATGTCTGTTTTCGGGTCTACAATATTCAATTCTTTGGCAGTATCCATTCTTTATTAGGTATCTACAAGTACAAAACACATCAACGACTCACAGAGAACAGAGCACATACCGACAAAAACATAAACAAAACTAAACTGAAAGTAACACCACATAACCTCATTTTTTTTGGCGAAATTTCGCGGAAAGTTAAAAAATAGTTAACTTTTTTGCGACGCCGCAAGAAGTTAAAAAATTCGCGAATTTTTCCCGCCATAAAAAAATCAAATGTTAAATGTCAAATTCCAACCAATCGGAAAATATCCGCAAAAAAAAATTCGCGATTTCGCGTCCATGAAGACTAGGGCTTTAGGCGTATTTTAGCGACAGGTAAACATCATGCTACACATACTACGATTCATGACGTCATAGTTACCCAAATAACAGGTGGAGTGTAGGTATTTGACAAAGGGTCTAAGAGAGGACGAGCTGGTTTTCCGATGCTTCTCAAAAACTGGAGCTGCACTTTCTGCCCGAGTTCAGTGCAATAAGCTCCGTATTTATTGTTCCAGCTTAGAATCATTAATTTTCTATATCCATTCCATCATTCAATTTCCACTTTATAATCAAACATCAAAGGAAATGTGTGGGTCATGGTAGTGTGTGCCAGCTATCACTCTTTTTTCGCCAAACGAATTCGCTACAAATCCCGAGGTTTTTTGAGGTTAGAAAATTACTGCGATGAAAATTTTCAAAACATTATTTTACTTCACCAACAGTTTTCGTAAAGTTTCGACAACATTATCAAATTTCCAGCACAAAAACTTCTCTTTAAAAGTTGACAAGAATATGGTGGGACTTCAACTGAAAGAAATCCTCAAAAACTTTGAGAGTATAGCCCCATTGAAAACTGCCGAATCTTGGGATAATGTAGGCCTTTTAGTGGAGCCGGATAGCAATGCTAATATTAACACTGTGTTGTTAACAATTGATCTTACAGAAGAAGTAGTCCAAGAAGCTGTTGAAATTGGGGCTCAACTTATTGTTTCGTACCATCCGAACATATTTAAACCCTTGAAGACTGTTACACAAAAGTAAGTAAAATTTCTGTTTCCCAAATCAAAATAATTCACTTTTGTTTTTATTCAAACATATATTTGTAGTTCTTGGAAAGAAAGAATAATAATCCAATGTATCAAGAATAATATTGCAGTATTTAGCCCTCATACTTCATGGGATGCTATGCAAAATGGTGTAAACGATTGGCTAGGATCATTTTTACCCACTTCCTCTAGTAAACCTATTTTAACTAAAACAGAAGACTCACCAATTGGAATGGGTCGTTTTTTGATACTCAAAGAACCAACACCTTTGGAACAAGTCATTATTGCTGTAAAGAAGCTCATTGAAATACCTCATTTGAGGCTAGGTCTAGGGAAAGGCAAAACTTTAGGTGAACGACTGTCCAAAAAATGGCATAATCTAATAATTTAAAATTTCAGACTCTCCAATAACGACTGTGGCACTTTGTGCTGGCTCTGGAACAGGAGTACTAGCAGGCACCGAGGCTGATTTGTACTTAACAGGAGAAATGTTGCATCACGATGTGTTGGATGCTGCCCAAAAGGGTATTAGCGTTATATTGTGTAATCATAGTGATTCTGAAAGGGGATATCTCAAAAACTTTCAAAAGTCTTTCTCCAGTGAACAGTTGGCAATTTTCATATCTAAATTGGATAAGGATTGTTTGACTACAGTGTGAATTATTGTCAATATGAAAATGAAATTACAAATTTAATATATTGAAAGAGTAACCTTTTTAGTATTTACATATTTCTGTTCCTCATTTACTCATTTTGATTACTTCTTGACCATTTTACTTTAAAAGTTCTACAATGTAATTAATATTTGTGAGGTCTTATAGGATTCTCTGTATCAAATAGCTGAGGATCCTCCAAAAAGCAAGACTCTTTTAAATAAGTGGCCATCAAACCAGCACTTTGTGCTTTAGTAATTTCACTTTGGACAAGTTCCTGTTGGGTCTTACAAAGGCCTGTTATGTGTCTTCCATATATCCTTCCAGTGTATGGCGATTGAAACTGTGATAGCAGTTTAACATTTTTGTAGTCCACTTGAATATTGTGTTTACAGAGAATGCACTTCATTTGGACTTTTTCGAATGGGTTGTCCATGTCGAAATTTGGCTGATCTTCTTGGTCCTTTGATAAACGTCCAGGAGTTGTGGATATTGTACTTGTTCGTATTATTACTGAAAATGAGCATTATAGATATTGAATTGGAGAAAATATAATGAGCATTACCATTATTGAAAACGGGTAGAAGTTTTCTTATAGTCAAAAAATTCATTTTTATTTAATTTAATTTTATTTTAAAATTTCGTTTCGTTTGTGTAACTTTTCTGAAGTTGAAGGGTTTTTAACCTAACTTTTGTTTTTGGGTTGCTGGGAAGTGAACGCAATGAACGCATCCTACCCTAGTCGGAGTACGTCACTCTGATTAGGGAACAATGTGCATTCCAAGTACTTCGAATGTTCGGGTATGCCTTTTCAATATAGAGTAACCACATTCACGTTCGGTTATACGGAATGGATTCGAGTAATTGGAGCACACTCCGAAAGTATCACCTCACCCACACTCTGCTCTGACTTTAACCCGACTCTGGGTTGAACAGTCGAATCTCAATGGTCGAATCCAGCTGCTAGATTATTCTACAAGTGTCATTTCGAACGATCCATTTTCCTAGTGTAAATTTAGCCGGGCTGTTTGAAAACGCTATCAAGTAGTCAAATTTTATTTTTCATATAAGTCAAACTTCAAAAACAGGATTTTGGATTTTTTGTAAACAATCAACCTCGTTCCTAAAAACAAAAACACTAGTGAAGCCAAATTCAATTTTCCTTCTCTGGTTGTTATTGATTAATAAAGTAGCATTTCCGATTCAAATGTACATTGAATAATCTGCATTTCAGCTTCAGCTGTTATTCAGGTTTAATACACGAAAAGAAAGTTTTCTTCAGTCGGGTTCGGGGCAGTGCTGGGTACAAGAGGAAAAGATTCTCACTCGAAATGTGGGACTCGATGTTTCTAAGTACTTTGACGCCTAAATTCTATGTTGCGTTGACTGGAACTTCTTCGTTGATCTCAGGACTGATATTGATTTTTGAATGGTGGTACTTCAGAAAGTATGGAACTTCTTTTATTGAACAGGTAAGTAAGACTAGGAGTCGAGACTATTTTAAGTAAAAGAGTGGAGACTACATTCCATACATGCCTTTCCAATTATTTGTCTATTGATGAAGTTTATAGGCATTGATTTGGGAACCGTTACATTAAATAAATTCTATTGTAATATTTGGTTGAATAAACGGTATTTCAAAAAAATTGCTTTGCTCAACATTTATCTTTATGGTTATTTTTTCAAAACTGGTTTTGAGTCACGAGAACTTGACCCTACCCTACACTTGTCAACAATTAGTTAGTGTCAGTTACTGTTCCTGTCATAGTTCTAGTTTTTAGAAAATTCATTTTAACAATAAACCAATTTACAAAAATGGGCAAGCAGCAAGATCCTCTTAAACAGAACAGGTCAGCAGCATTGTACTGGATCAACGTAAGATTTTTGAAAAAAATATTTTCCACTCTATTTTTCATTTTTTCGTCGTTTTCTTTATTATATTTCTTTTATTCCAATTCAATTCAATTTTTTGATCAATATGCATAAAAATACATTCAAACCATTCAGGTGTAGACCACAGAAAAAAGGTAAAAGTGCAGTATAGCCTGGTCACCTAAAATAGTATGTTTGAATAAAGCCGGAGTCTCATGCATTCGATTTCCTATGAAAGATGTCCAAAAAACCTTTTATTCTGACATAATCGTATATAAATATGTCAGAATAGAAGGTTTTTTCGGACATCTTTTGTCGGAAAACGGATGCATGAGACTCTGGCCTAAGAATTGTTTGTTTAACGTTCGGATGTAAGCGAATTTTTCTGACAATGTCATGTCACAGTCAAAATGAAAATGATGGTCATGTCATTTATTTTTACGACACCTTTGTTATTTATTTTTTTATCACTTACATTTTCTGACAGTCAAAATAATAACTGACCGTCATTAAAATATATGAACGTCATTGAAATATATGACAGGGTCACAAAAATATTGGCTGACTTTCGATTTTGAGTGTCAATCTTATGAAGGAGATGGAAGCTGTACTTTCTAACTCATTAGATGACTTTTGATGCTGATGACTGTGAAACTAAAGCAGAACTTTAGTCAACCAATCAGATATCTGATTATTGATTTAAGTTATGTTATGTTCTACATTGACAGTAAATGACCATAAATGACAATAAATGACAAAAATGACAAAAGAAATGACTGTCATTTATCACAAAAAATAAATCAGTCATTTTACATCCCTACAAATAGTGCATTTTGAATTTTGAGTAATCAACAAGAATTTGCTGTGATCAGTTGTGTTTCATTGCACTCCGTAAAATATGCGTTTTTGTAATACTTTAAAGTGCAGTATATTAGTGAGTTCAGAGTTCAGTATGTACTTGTGAGTGATAACGTGATCTGTCTCACATTGTAAGAAAATTTCATACAAACGTAATTTTTCTCAGAAATAAAATCTATATTTCCACTGGCATATTTGATTAAAGTAGACACAATCCTACAATCTACATTATAAAAAAAAATATGAATACGAATTTGCATACTCCAATAGACCTATCTATTTTTACCTGTATGCGCATGCAACACGAGGCAATGCATTTTTATATAATAATAATCCTTTATTTAGCACCTGGCTAATACATAAAACAAAATACAATTAGGTACATATTCTTACATTACAAACCTAAAAAAAATATTTAAAAAAAAATAAATAAAATTAAACAATATAGGTATACAGTATATACTCCCTACTCCTAAAAATCACCAACAGACAATAATTACAAAACTAAAATAGAAACAAAAAAGTCAACTAGGTATATCATTCACCCAGCAAGCGACACTTCAATCTATTTTTGAAAATTTGCAGACTACCCGCATTCTTTATGCAACTGTGCAATGAATTGTAGGCAATTAACCCCTTATGATAGACTGCCCTTTCTGAACAACTTTTGTTCTTTTTGTGAACATAAAAATTATCTTTATTTCGTGTTGGATAGTCATGAATTATTTCATTAGTAACTAGTCTATCAGTCAAATAATTCGGCGCTAGTCCATTTTTTATTTTATAAATAAACACCAACACTTGAAATTCTAAAAACTTTTCTATAGAGAGCCACTTTAACTTATCTAGCATTAGTTTTATTGGTGTATCTCTCCTTTCTCCCAAAATTATCCTCATGGATCTATTCTGCAATTTTTGTAATCTACTAATTTCATTTTTGTTTGCCAGATACAGAACAGTTGAACTATACATTAAGTGGGGCAGCACCAAAGTATTGAAAACCGTCATTCTTGACCACTGTGTTAAAAACCTGGACACTCTATACAAAAAATAATGTTTTTTGTTAATTTGTCAATTATACTTATAATATGTTCCTTAAAGTTAAGTGCTCTGTCAACTATAAAGCCCACATACTTTATTTTCTCCACCAATTCTCCACTTCTTTCCCATCAATTAATATGTGAAGATAACTTGCCCTGTACTCATTTTGGTATCTGGAATTCCCGATCAACATAAATTTTGACTTGCTGTTGTTCAACTTGAGCGAATTTGAATCGAACCACTTATTTAATTCCTTCATATCTAAATTAATTTTATCCACCAAATATTGCAAATCCTTTGAGTAATAATATATGAGCGTATCATCCGCAAACAAATGAACCGAACAGTATTTTATTGGCTAACTAGTACAGGTGTGAAGTAATCCTTTTGCAGGCTGAGTATCTCCTTGTCCTTGTTCATTGTCCGTGGTCTGACAAGGATAAATTTATGCTTGATATTCAACTTGACGTAGCTTGATAAGTGATCGATTTTCAATTGTTTGTGTTTTTGATTGACAAATACGTTGCACATCACGCGGTTTTCCTCCTTCCTTTTTTATCCCGTGCAAATAATAAGAACGGATTGCTATAAGTAAGTCTAACATAATTTGGTACGTTTTGCCTCGTCTTTCGCAATAAGCATTCTGCGTCTTTTTCTATCTAATAAAGTTTTCGTATTATTACCTCTTTGTCTGGTAAAATAGATAGGTCTATTCTAAACATCCCGAGTCTGTATATAAATAAACAACAACTGTTCATTGAATGTTGGCAGATAAAATAAAATAATTTTTCTTTGTTGTGCCATGCCTAGTGTTGTAAAATTCTCGGTAATTTTCAAACGTTACCGACCTTTCAGGACTGTTTGAGAATTTTCGAGAACTTTGGAGAATGTTGCAAACGCACCTTTAAATTCGGCTTTTTAATGTAGGGCTCGTAAAAATGTCTAATAATAGTATATTGTTGTATTAGGAGTAGAAGCTTTACTTTTTTGTGCTGAAGCAGTAGGTTTGAGAGCTGAACGTAGTGAGGCTTGCAATACTGCTGAAGCACAAAAAAGTGCGTCTACTCCGTATGCAACACACTATTTTTTCTCCAAACTAATGGGGTAAGCTTGGGGGCAAGTGGCTGGTTGAGCAGCAGTAAAAGTACGAGCAGCACTAAAAGTACTTTTGCTGTCGCTGGGGTTGCCAAGCAGCATAGAAATTAAACTTCTACCACCTCGACAGGTGTTAACACGCTAGATTTACTTAGCAGCATAGAAATTAAATTTCTGACATCTTGACAGGGGTTAACAAAGTGACGTTTTTTTGACGTTTGGAGAAAAAAAAGTTTCACTAAATTTTATTTCTCTGGTAGGGGTAGGTGAATTTTCCATAAATGTAGATATAACCCTTGTCTAAGTATTACTAATTTATTGTGAAGAAAATCAGAAAATGATAATATTTATAAAACCAATACAAGTCTTGTAAGTTGGCGTACCTAATAAAAAACAAACTAAAAAACAACGTAGATGTAGGATGTAGGTAGCAGCGGTAGCACCAAAAAATAAAACTCAAAAATCTTTAAATGCTACCTACATAACATAGGTAACTACATAAAGTGTTGAGTCAAAACAAATAATAAAATAAAATATAAATTTGAAGATAAAAATAGAAACTCTAAAAAAAAAGGATCTTAAAAAACGAACTTTCTGTAGGTAATGGTAATAACACAATTATAATAATAATAATAATAATAAACGTCTTTATTTGCATATTCATACATTCATAATATATAATATAATATAATATATGATTCACGCATACAGAACACAGGTGGCGAAGTTTAGCCAATGGCCATTCTTCCACTCAACCATCTGTGCCCCACATTGGGCCAACATTTTAAAGGTAAAACAAAAATAACAGGTATTGTAGCATCTATCATCTAGATAGGTAACATTAGCTATTTTGTAACAATCGCTTATTATATTCTAGTCTCAGTTTATATACACTGTATTCTCTGAATGGCAAATTAACTGAGTTCAACAGTTTTACCATACAATAAGAGAAACTTCTCTGAAATAGTGAAGTTCTGTGTTTAGGCACTGTGAAAGTTGTACCATTTCTTAAGTTTAAACTATGAACATTATGTGCATCAGCTCTACACTCTATTTTTTTATACAAATATACAGGCTCCTTACAATCTAATAATTTTTTAAAGAAAATCAATGAATATAATTTATACATATTATCACATTTCAGCCAACCAATCCGTTTAATATTAACTGACACAGAATCATATTTCCTCAAACTAAAAACAAACCTACAACATGTATTCTGTACATATTGGATTCTTTTTTTAGTGACTAAATCTAGAAATGGATAGTAGACTATAAAACAATAGTTAAAAATTGATAATACAAGTGCTTCACACAATTTTTTTCTCATTTTAAAATTAAGTATGTACCTGCTTGTATATAGGAGCTTCATCTTAATATAACTATTTTGCAGCAAACTTTGTACATGTTTATGAAACCTTAGATGAACATCCAGGTGTAATCCCAGATTTTTGGCACAGTTGGAAAAACCAAGTACATCAGTGCCAATCTGTATTTTCAAACGATCAGTCAGAAAGTCTCGTAGTCTTTCGGAACAGAAAAGGAGAACTTCTGTCTTTTTAGGGTTAATATTAAGATTATGTTCTGTGGAAAACTTTACAACTCT